GCCTCCTGAGCCCTCTTTGGGGAGGACAGCTCGAATGGTCCGTTCGTGTTCGCCCTCTTGGGTCCTTCCTGGGGCCGTGTTGGTACACTCTTGGGCATTCTTGGGCGCATCTTGGGCCGTCTTGGAGCCCTCTTGGGCCGTCTTGGGACCCTCTTCGAGGCCTCTTGGGCCGTCTCGGGGGAGTCTTGGGGGCGTCTTGGATCGTCTTGTGGCGTCGGGAGCTCGAAAAGGCGAGAACCCGAACAACATTGAAAGACGTATTCAAACCAATGATTTGTGACTCTTGAGGCCCTCTTGGGACAGCTCTTGGAGCTCTCTTGGGACGCCTCGGCGGCCTCGTGGACTGTCTTGAAGCCATCTTGGGCCGTCGTGAGGCCAAAGTGGCCCGCCTTGAAGCGGCTATTGGGCTTCATCCGGGCCTCGGTAACGCAAATCTGTAGCATTTTGCTCGGGCTTGTGGCCTCGGGAAGAGGGCGGCGATGCATGCAGCGCGGCGATTCCCGAAGAGGGCGGGTTCCTTAGAAAACAACAGGGGCCTTGCCAGACAGCGCTTGGCATTCCAGCACGCCCCAACGTACCAGGAAGCACGGTGGCGGATAATATCAACAAGTGTTGCTGTCAGGTCAGCATCTGCAGGTGAGCGCAACTTGACCCAAGAAGGTGTACAATTTATGACGAGGTGGCTGGAGTCGCGCCGTGGCTTTACACGCCTCCGCCGCCTTGGCCGCGCGAAGGTCGCCTGGAGCGGCGCTGGCGCGCTCAAATTCTACTCCAAGCATGGGTCGGGCCCGGCAGGCCGCGAGAGCGGTCCCGATACGGGCTTTTTTGCCCTGCTGCTCAGGACAAGGGCACGTCATCGCCCCTCCTCGCCTGAGGGAGGCCGAGACCGAGGCCGAGGCCGCGGGAGTGGCTCCGATACCGCCGCTCTCCCACTGCCAAGGGGCAGGGGCGCGTCCCTGCCTCTCGTCGCGGGAGGGGAGCCGAGGCCGAGGCCGAGGCTGCGAGGGTGGTTCCGATGTCGCGTCGCTCCCACTGCAGAAGCCAGCCACATCGCGGCAGAGCCCCGATCTCGTCGTTGCGGGCGCAAGGATAGCTCGCTCGTCTTCGTATCAGGGTTCGAGCACTGTGCCTCCCCCACCCTAGTGCCCGCAAGCACGCAAGCAGACTCGAACACGCAGCGCGAGGATACAGACAAAGCCGTGGGCGCAGCACACAGCATGTTCAAGAGTCCATCGTGGGAGAAGAGGAGGAGTTGGAGGAGGAACACGCTGCTTTGAACTGCGGCGGTTTGTTGTGCATTGCGTTGCCCTGTGATGCATTGCGCTGCCATGTGTTACGATGGTATGCACGAGCGCGCTTGCCTTTTCTCGTATTGCAGTGCTTCAACTTCGCATGGCGTGGCCTTTCGTTGCGAAGTGTCGAAGTTAATTTGTTTCGCATTGCGTTGCGCTATCTATCGCTTTATAGTTGCTTGGCACATCGCTGCTTCGAGTTGCAATTCATTTGCAGCGCAGCGCATGTGTAAACAGATGCCATGGCAAAGTGTTGCTCTTTGCCGCGCTGCACTTCCAAGTCAACCAAGCCATCCGAATCTCAATTCAATAAACCAGCGCATTCAACTTGCAATTCATCCGAGCATGTAAAGTGCCCCGCGCCTGTGGTGGACATGAGCTACGGACAACGTATGTGGTACTCTGCTCTCTACTCTCTGCTATTTCCTTTGTGTTACCGCTCATCTTTTGTTACCCTCTACTTTCCCGCTCTCTACAAGCTACTCTCTACTCACCAGCTTCACCTCCGTAGCGTCCCCTTTTTCGGTTCATCTCTGCCCATCCATCATTCGCTCTGATCTATCGCCCCAGGTTGCTTTGCACTTTAGCTTCTTCGGTAGTTGCGCTAGTGCTTCGTTCGCAGGGTCTGACGACCCTTTGCGAGGGAAGAGTTCTAGAGCATGCCGTGCGCAGCTCCTTGGTGTCAGAAGGATTCTGCCTGGCAGCGGACCCAGACATCCAGCTGCTCCAATTCTTTTGATGCGTGGGCCAAAGAGGTCCGGACCGCTTCCCTGGGACCGGCTCTTCGTCCTGAGTCGTTTTTTGACGCTCCCGAGGCCCGGCGAGGGCCCCCGGAGTCCGAAAACGGCCAAACACCGCCAGCTCCAACTTTTGTTGGAGCGTCGGATCTCACGAGCGACTTGCTGACTACTTCCGCCGAGAGGGCGGTGCAGCTCGCAGGTGGAAGCAGGCGGTCAGGGCATGGGAGGCGCGCTGAAGGCGTCCGCTTCCGAGCACATTTTCTCACTCGTTGCTCCCGCGCTGTGGCTGGCGCGGGGCTTCTGGACTGGACAGAACGGCGGATCTCGTTGGGAGCGTGCCTCGCTGCCCTCGGCCTCCGCCTCGGGCCTGGCATCGCTCGGACGTGTGCGTTGTTCCTTCGGCGAGGACCATCGAGGAGTATCCTTGATCATTTGGCGAAAAAGCCACACATCCTTGATCAGTTGGCGGAAAAGCCACACACGAAACCGAAAAAATCAAGGGAATGGACGCCCGAGCGATGGCCTCGGGGCTCGGCGCACTTCCGCGCCCGCCGGGCCTCGGTGCCCGCTCCGCCACAGCGGCCACGGCGCCCGGCGATCGGCGCCCGGCGGGGCTGCCACGGCCGGGGCGGGCAGCGGCAGCACCTTTGAGGCCCTGGGCCGTGGTGCCGGAGCCCGAGGTCGGGGGCGGCCAAGAGGGGGGGGGTGATGACTATATTCGGGGGCGGACAGAACCCCCAACAGTGACACGTCGATTAGTGAATTGTCCGTTTTCGGTTCTCGAGAGGGCGCCGTGGCCGTTATTTTCCAGGCTTGCGCCCGCCAGGTTTGGGCCTCAGGTCGTTTTCACTAAACCACGTTTTACTAAAGGGGGGTCTGTCCATCTAGGGGTGGGCGGATATGTCCCAGACATCGGGCGTCTCGAAAAGCATAGGGGTGGGCGGATATCTCCCAGACATCGGGCGTCTCGAAAAAAATCAGGACGGGGTTTTTTCGCAGCTTTTGGCCTCGCCGGGCCTCGGGACCGTCAGACAGCGACCGGGGACGGAAAACCGGTCCCGGGGAAGTGGTCGGGAGGTCGGGGGCCCGTGTCTCAAAAAATTCGAGTCGTCGGATGTCTGGGATCATGGCGGGGGCCATGATATCTCCCCAGATCTCATGGCGCCGCTTCTTATTCCATTACGTCCCCGGCCCCCCCCTGGGGCGAGCACATGCCGCGGGTCATGATTTGCGCCCCCCCCCTTTGGCCGCCCCCGAAGAGGGGGAGAGAACCTGTGAGGCAGACGCAGCGACCAGAAAGTACATGCGGTTACCAGCGACCTTCCGGCGCGTGCAGGGGCTGCAGAAGCTGTGGTCCAACCTGGGCCAGTACCTGAGCGACACAAAGAATGAACATAGGAGGGCGCGCCGCCTTCGCTGATCTGCGGTACCCAGGTGAAAGACTGTGGCAGCACAGCGCGAATCTTCAGCAGTCGGTGGCGCAGCGATCTGCCGGACAGCTCGAGGCTGCCGGACGTCAGGACCTTCAACAGTATCAGCAGGACCTGCCTCGACGTGCCCAACGGCTCGAAGCTGCTGTACAGCAGCTGGCGGAGAGAGACAGGCCAGAAGGAGGACTGTCACTTGTAGACGCCAAAGGACTGGGCAAGCCGACGGCATCCAAGAACGAGGAGCTGAGGACAATCGATTTCCCCTGGTGGCATCGCAAATCGAGTGCCTACCTGATAGCGATATCTGGAAAACCGCCGCGTCGAGTGCTCGAATGGGTCGAGGACCAAGCGCAGGGAACGACAGCCAGATCGGTGGAGATTCTTGACGTGCAGTGCGGCACAGGAGCTGGACGCTTCAGTATGAAGCGGAAGGCCCGGCAAAAAAGCAAACATACACCACAACCGTTACACCATTACAAAATTCATGTCTTTTCGTCGCGTCTTGCAGTGTGGTGCGATTTGTTTTCTCCAGGCTGATGTCGAAGAGCCCGTGCCTGACAGGGCGGAAATTCGGGCGGTTGTCCCGATCCAGTCTCACCTACCTACTCATCGCGCCACCCCGGGGCAATAATTGTCACAGGTGACTGTCTCGCCCCCCCCCGTCTCGCATGGCATAGGCGGCCCGGAATCGCCAACCCGCGTTGTTGAACAAGATGTGCCACTGAGTCCAGCAACACAGCCAGTGGCCAGACACCGCTCGCGTCAGGCAGTTATGTTGCTTGGCCACTTCGTTCTGTCGGGCCTCCGTGCCCTCCAGGGTGGTAACACCAGGGAGCTGTGCCACTAACAGGGTTAAGGCGCCCCAGAGTAACATTACCTCGAGTCCACCTCCTCCTCCTCCTTCTCCGGTTCCTCCTCCTCCTCTTTCTCTTTATCTTCCTCCTCCTCCTCCTCCTCCTCCTCCTTCTCCTTCTCCTCCTTCTTCTCCTCCTCCTCCTCCTCCTCCTCCCCCTTCCTCTCCTCTCCTCCTCTCTTCTCCTCCTCCTCTCTCCCCCTCCTCCTCCCTCCTCCTCCTCCTCCTCCTCCTCTCCTCCCTCCTCCTCCTCCTCCTCCCCTCCTCCTCCTCCTCCTCCTCCTTCCTCCTCCTCCTCCTCCTCCCTCCACTTCTCCTCCTGTTCCTCCTCCGTCCTCCCCTCCTTCGTCTTCGCTCTCCCCGTCCTCCCCCCCCTCCCCCTTCTACTCCCCCTCCTCCCTCTCCTCCTCTCTGGCCCCTTCCCCTCCCCTGCCCTCCCCTCCCCCTCCTTCTCCTCCCCCTCCCTCCTCCTCCTCCTCCTCCTCCTCCTCCTCCTCCTCCTCCTCCTTCCTCCTCCCTCCTCCTCCTTGCTCCTCCCCTTTCTCCTCCATCTTCTCTCCTCTTCCCCCTCCTAGACCTTCCCCCCTCCCTCCCTCTCTTCTTTCTCCCCCTCTCCTCTCTCCGACACCTCCCCCTCCTCCCCTTCTTCGCCCTCCCCCCGTCCGCCCACCGCGTCCGCAAAATTAGACGAGCAGCGCCCCCCTGGCAGCATGCGGCCGCGCCGGCAGCGGCCATGAGCGGCGGAGGGGAGGTGCGGCGGGACGGCTGCGACGGGACCGCCGCCCCCTTCCCCCACCCCTCTTGTGCCGCCGCCTCGTCGTCGTCCTCCTTGTGTTCCTCCTCCTCCTCCTTCTCCTCGTCTTCCTTATCCTCGCTGTCCTTCTGGCCCACTCCTGCTCCTCCTCCTCCTTCTCCTCCTTCCTCCTCCTCCTCCTCATCCTCCTCCTCCATCATCATCATCATCATCATCATCATCATCATCATCATCATCATCATCAGCATCAGCATCATCATCATCATCATCATCATCATCCTGATCATCTTCCTCATCATTCTCACCAGCGTCAGCATAATCATCATCGTCATCAGGATAACCATGATAATCGTCATCATCATCATCATCATCATCATCACCATCATCATCATCATCATCATCACCATCATCATCAGCAGCAGCATCACCATCACCATCATGATCGCCATCGCCAGATTCATGCTCATACCCCCCACCATCGTCACCATCATCAGCGTCATCACCTTCCTCCCCCTCATCATCATCATCATCATCATCATCATCATCATCATCATCATCACCATCACCATCTCCATCATCATCATCAGCAGCATCATCATCATCACAATCAGATCATCATCATCATCATCATCAGCATCATCAACATATTTAGCATTATGACCATCATCATCATCATCACCATCAACATCATGATCGCCATTGTCATATTCATACTCGTAAACACCACCTTCATCATCGTCATCATTTTCCTCAGCAGCATCATCACCATCATCATCACTATCTTCATCATCATCGTCCCCAGCATAATCATCAGCATCATCATCAGCATCATCAGCATGCTCAACATCATCACTATCATCATCATCATCATCACCACCATCATCATCACCGCCGTCGTCATCATCAGCATTGTCATCATCCGCAGCAGCATCATCATCACCATCACAATCCGCATCGTCATTATCATCAGCGTCATCATCATCATCAGCAGCAGCATCAGCCTCATCATCGTCATCATCATCGCCATCCCCATCACTAGCATCATCAGCATCATCATCATCATCACCATCATTATCATTAGTATCATCACCAGCTCCATCATGACCATCATAACCACCACCATCATCACCAGCATCAGCATCATCATCGTCAGCATCATCGTCATCAGCTTGTTCAGCTTCGTCACCATCTTCATCAGCATCATCATCATCATCATCATCATCATCATCATCAGCATAGCGTCATCATCATCTTCATCATCTTCATCATCTCCATCGTCATCGTTACCGCTATCCACATCTTCGCTATCAGCACCACCCGTCATCATTACCATCATCGTCGTCATCATCGTCCATTTATACGCTCACTTATTCTCTTGGTCGTCCTCTTGCGTCCTCCTCCTCATCCTCCTCATCCTCCTCAGGCGGTCAAGCGATCAGGCGATCTTCAGTACCACTTGTTTCAATCTGCTCTCGCACGGAGCTTCCGCGTCCTCCAGCGACTTCTCTCCCCGCGTCATCCAGAGGACAGTTGAGCCTGGGTGGTTGGGGCTCTCCTCGATATTTTGCCCAAGGGACGTTGGGCTGGGCCTGAAAGAGGTCCTCAATGGTGCGACGGCTGCGCGCCTGTCGGTGGGCCTCGTCGGCCAACGCCAGACCAGGCAGCGCCTTCTCCTGCACCCCCAACCCCACCCGCCCATCCACCCACCCACCCACCCACCCACCCACGCACGCACGCACGCACGCACACGCACAGAGAGAGAGAGAGAGAGACACACCACAAACACAGACACACACACACACACACACACACACACACACACGCACGCACGCACGCACGCACGCACACGCACGCACGCACGCACGCACGCACGCACGCACGCACGCACGCACGCACGCACGCACGCACGCACACACACGCACGCACGCACGAACACACACACACACACACACACACACACCCTCAACACACACCACACACACACACACACACACACACACGCACACACACGCACACACACGCACCCACGCACGCACGCACGCACGCACGACGCACGCACGCACACGAACACACACACGACGCACAGGAGCAGCCCGCCGCCCTGCGATGTCCTCGACGCCAGGGGCTTCTCGGAGCGGCGCGTGCAGGAGGCCGCCGGGCTCCGGCTCCCTCCCCCGTTCTCCGTCCTCCTCGCCTTCCTCCTCGTCCTCCTCCTCCTCCTTCCTTCTCGTCCTCACTCCATCCTCCTCCTCCTTTCCTTCACCTCCTCCTCCTCCACCTCCTTCTCCTCCTCCTCCTCCTCCTCCTCCTCCTTTCCTCCTCCTCCTCCTCCTTCTCCACCTCCTCCTCCTCGGGGGAAGGAGGGGGAGAGGGAGGAGGAAGAGGAGGAAGGAGGAGGAAGGCAGGAAGAGGAGGGAGGCGGGGTGGTGAAGAGGAGGAGGGAGGAGGAGGAGGAGAAGGAGGAGGAGGTGGAGGTGGAGGTGGAGCAGGAGAGGGAGGGTGGGGCAAGAAGAGGAGGGAGAAGGATGAAGGAGTGAGGGGGGCCGCAAAGACGGCGGACGGAGGACGGAGGATAGAGGGAGAGGATCGGAGGAGGCGGAGGAGGGTAGAGGATGGGCGGGAGGCGGAGGAGGGGGGAGGAGGCGGAGGAGGGGGAGGATATAGAGGTAGAGGAGAGGAAGGAGGGGGAGGAGGAGGACGAGGGAGGGGTAGCAGGAGGAGAGGTGGGAGGAGGAGCAGGAGGAGCAGGAGGAGGGGGAGGAGGAGCAGGATGAGGGAGAGACAGAGCAGGAGATAGCACAGTAACCCACAGCTGCATCATCCATGCTGCAGCACACCCTCCCGCCCCCGGGGGCCCCTCACAGGTCCCGGCAAGAGTGCCCCCTCGGTGCACGGAGCCGCCCCCTTGGACGTCGGGCGCCCCACGCGCGCGTGCTGTGCTGGCGGGGGGGGGGGCCCGGATTTTCGGAGGAGGAGCCGTCGCCACGAAGGAAAGGAGTCCGAAGGGCAATTGGTCCTGAGGTTTTTGCGCCGTTCTTCGGGCTCCTGGGGCGCGTCGCGGGCCGCGGGGCCGTCAGCAAGCGGTGCGGGACGGTCTGGTCCCGGGGGGGGGGCCGCAGGGGTCCAGGACCCGTTTCCCCCGGGACCCGCTTCCTTCATGCCAAAGCCGCCTTGCACCCCCCTGTTAGAGTTGCCACACGCTGCAAGGGGAACGAGCACTCACGCCACGAGATCACTGGCGTAATTCGGTGAACCAGTGGCGGACGCCAGAAGGAGAATGCAACAAGAATCTCCACGTGAGTCCCAGGCGGGACCCATATTCGCCCAGCAGCCAGACGATTGCACTCACCCGTGCCGCCAGATTTGCTCAGCGGTCCTTCTCCACCGCCCCGCCCCACGGCGCCGCCGCCGCGCCTCGCGCCGCGAGGGCCGAGGTGAGGCCCGCCACCGCCCCCCACCCACGGGTTTCACCGTGGCCTCTGGGAGGCCGTCGGTCGGCCTGAGGAGGCCATCCCTTCTGCTCGTTGAAGCTGGGCTTCCTCGGAGCGCCTTCCCACGAGGCCGCCCCGCCCCCCCTCTTGTGGAGGAGGAGGAGGAGGAGGAGGAGGAGGAGGAGGAGGAGGAGGAGGAGGAGGAGGAGGAGGAGGAGGAGGAGGAGGAGGAGGTGGAGCAGGAGAATAAGGAGGAGGAGCAGGAGAGGGAGGATGGGGGGGACGGTGGATGGAGGAAGAGGCTTCCTCGAGGCGCCTTCCCAGAAGGCCGCCCCCGCCCCCGCCCCTCGTGGGGACCCACAGGCTTCCAAAACGGACCGTCGGTCGGCTTGGGGAGTCCATCCTCTCTGCTCGCTGATGCTGCGCTGCCTCGGAGCGCCTTCCTGGAAGGCGGCCCCCCCCCACCGCCCCTCGTGGAGACCCATACGCTTGCAGAACGGACTTGCCCTCCGTCCGCGTCCGTGTAGCTGCTGCACCTTACAGCACTTCGACGGACAACGTCTTGGGGAGTCTCGAGCGAGAGCTCACGTCGACAAGGAGCCGCCCTGCATCCTTGTGGCCGCCTTCGGGTAATCAAGCCGGGTGACATCTCAAGCGAGGGGCCAATTGCGAAGAGAGACCGCGCTCCACCCGTGTAGTGGTTGCAAGCCGTGCGAGTGTGCGCGCTGCTCGGGCGGGAGCCACGTTCAAAACATGGCCCGACCTCCATCCGCGTGGCGGCTGGGGGCTTGTGGGGCGCATGCGTGCGGCGCTGAGGCCAGAGCCACATTCCGCGAGCCATTCGTCGCTCCACCCGTTTGCACGCCGGAGGCTGGCAGGACAAGTTCGCGCGGTGCTGGGGCGGGAGCCCCGCGTTGAGATCGGCGCGCCCTCCACGCAGCCCGCGCCAGCCCCCGGCCCGCTCCACAGGGTGGTGCGACGCCTGGTGGCACGACCAGCTCATGGGGAGGAGAAGGTCATGAGGGAGCTCTGCGGGAACAGCTTACGGGTGGAACAGCTCATGGGGAGCACCTCGGTGGGAACTCCGTGGTGAGGGACAGAGTTGTGGGAACTCCGTGGGAGGAACAGCTCACGGTGATGAGGAGCTCTGCGGAAACAGCTCTGGCGCTCCACAGGAGGCGCAGCTCGCGGGGAGGACACGGTGATGGAGGAGGGCCCAGCGCGCGCGGAGGGGCGGCCACCCCGCCGCCTGCCCAGGCTCCGCTGCGGCTGCCACCTCCCTTTGCGCCAGGGCGCGGATCAGATGGAGAGCGCGGTCGGACCGAGGTCTACTTCAAGATCGAGGTCGGTCGGGGTGGGTACCCTAATGTTCTTCGTGCTTGTTGGATGTTCTTGTGTATCCTGTGGGAGGGTATCCTCGAGTGTTCTTCAGCTTGGCCGGCGGGTCTCGTGTTCTTGAAGGATGTTTTGTTCTGTCTTAGGTCCGATCGTAGCTTGGCCGGCGGAGAGTCTCATGTTCTTGAAGGATGCTACTATGTCTCAGGTCCGACCAGATGTCCACCGCGGCGTCGCGACAGAGCAGAACAAGGCCCAACGAAGTGCCCCCGGCGATTGCTGCGCGCTGCCTCCGGCGCGAGCGCTGTCCAGCTCCCCGGGCGGCGGAGCGGGGCGGCTTTCCGCGGAGCGCCCCCTCTCCCCACAAGCGAGCGCTGCGCGCTGCTTCCAGCGGGGGCGGTGCTGTTTTTGTTGCTTATGTGTTCTGTGCTCTCCCGCGCGGGCGGTTATCTATCGATCCTGGTCGGCGGCATGTGCGGCGCGGTGGCGCCGTGAGTGGGCGCTGTTGTTTCCACCTCGGCCGAGGGCCTCACCTCGTCGCGTGCGCTTGCTGGCGGCACTGCCCTCCATGACTTCGGCTCGGCACCGGCGCTTTGGCGCGGAAGGGGGGCCCGAGCGGGTCTCTCTGGTCGCCCCAGCGGAGCCATCGGCGCGATCAACGCCAAGGCGTGGACGGGGGACTGAGGAGGCACTTCGCTGGCCCAGCCTGCCCGCGCCGCGCGGGGAAGGGGGGTGGCTCGAACGCGTCTCCAGTCGCCCCAGCGGGGCCATGGGCTCGTTCGGCGGGCCTGTCCCTCTACAGGAGGAGTATTCAAAAATAGTGCGAACAAATAGTCTGGGGACGATTCTTCGACTATTTTGGATCATTTTTGAACAGTTTTGGCCTGTGTTTAACTTTTCGCCCAAAATCCGCCAAGGAGGACATGCCCGACCTAAGCCCAGGCGTGCAAAAAGGGGGGGCCTTGAGGGGCACTTCGCGCCAAGGCGTGCCTCCTCCTCCTCCTCCTGCTCCTCCTCCTCCTCCTCCTCCCTCCTCCTCCTCCTCCTCCTCCTCCTCCTCCTCCTCCCTCCTCCTCCAAAGAGGGCCTTAAGGGGCACTTCGCTGGCCGAGCCCGCGCGCGCGCGCAACGCCGCGTGCGCGCCTTGAGCGGGAGACGCGCCTGGCGCCCAGCAGGGAGGCGCTGGCCCGCCAGCGGGCCAGGTCGCGGCCCCACGGCTCGTGCCTGCCAAGCGGCTTCGACCGGAGCTCAAACAGGGGCTTCAATCGGGGGGCAGGGCTCCTCCCCCCAGAAGCCTCCTCACGCCGCCCCCTCCCTCCCTTCGCGTTTCAGCCAGCCCCGCGTTCCCTTTCCTTCGGGGCCCTCTTCCTGGCTATCTCGTGCTTCTGTGAAAAAAATCACCCGTGCATCGGAAAACTGCACTGCCGGCGCCGGCTTGGAGGGCTGCCCGGAGCAGCCGCCCAGAAAGCCAAACTTGGGGGCGATTCCCCCGTGAACTTGCTGGCTTACTCGCACACACGTGTGGGCCGCTTGGGAGCGCAGAGAACATCAGGAGCGTCAGAACAAGGACTCGTCCCTGCCCTCGGCCCGCACCTGCCGCACCCTGCGCGCGGCAGGTGCCGCGCTGCCGCGGCCGCCGCCGTGGCTGCGGCGGTGGCCGCGGCCGCACCTTCCGCGCGGAGGGCTCGGGAGGTGCAGGTCGCGGGTGGGCCCCGCGCCGTTGCGCGGGATGCGCGGGCCTGGCCCAGCCAGACGGCGCGGGGTTTGTCGCGCCGGCAGAGATCGGAGTCCGCCGCGTCCCAGAGTTAGGTCGGGCGTGGCCCCCTACAGGCGGATTTTGGATGAAAAATTACGACGACGACAACAACAACAACAACGACAACGACAACGACAACGACAACAACAACAACAACAACAACAACGACAACGACAACGACAACGACAACGACAACCACAACCACAACAACAACAACAACAACAACAACAACCATTTTAAGGCTGTACGCTCTTACTTGCCCGCGAGTCATTCAACACGTATACCCTACACCCTCGATACCCGCCCTCTTCGTCTTCGATCACACCCCTTTCGGGGGGATTATTTCTCTTTGCTGGGGCCGGCGGGCTTAGACGTACGGGCAAACCGGAACGGGCGGACAATCCTTCGGGGGCGTACATCTCTCTGCCCGCCATTGGAATTGGCGCGGGCCCTGCAAGAGGAGGAGGGGAAGAACGAGGGAGAGTGGGAGGAAGGGGAGGGGGAAGGACGAAGAAAGAGGGAAGATACCACGTTGTGAAGGCGTCCTTGGCGCGTGCGTGGTTCCTGAGCGCCGAAACGCAATTCCAGAATAATTTGTGAGGACGTCGCACGCGGAGCGCAGTCCTGAGTACATTGTGAGGAAATCTCAGGCGGAAGCGGGGGCCCTGACTAAGTCGCGAGGAAGTCTCAAGTGGGAGCGCCGTTCCTGAGCAAATTGCACGGAAGTCTCAGGCGTGAGCGGGGGTCCTCACTAAATTGTGAGGAAGTCTCAGGCGGGAGCGCCGTTCTTGCGCGGAAATGTCAAGCAGGAGCGGGGGTCCTGAGTAAAATTCGAAGAAGTCTCAGGCGGGAGCGCCGTTCCCACGTAAATTGCACGGAAGTCTCAGGCGGGAGCGGGGGTCTTGATTACATTGCGAGGAAGTCTCAGACGGGAGCGTCTTTCCTGAGTAAATTGCGCGGAAGTCTCAGGCGGGAGCGGGGGTCCTGAGTAAAAATCGAGGAAGTCTCAGGCGGGAGCCGTTGTTGTTGTAGCCCGGGGGGCAGGGGCACAGTTTGAGCAGGAAAACTTTCCTTGAGAAAAAACAAGGTGCGAGCCCCGGGGGTGGCACTTCAACCGAAAAAAATCAATGTGCACCGGTGGGGGGGGATCAACAATAATTATTCTTCCAGAATGAGAGTTCATCAACAACAACAACAACAACAACAACAACAACAACAACAACAACAACAACAACAACAACAACAACAACAATTACTAGCACGTGGGGACACACCGTTCTCACCAGTGCCAGGGTTTTCATGGGACGCCGGCCAATACCCCTACTTTGTGGGGGGGCAGTTCAAGCTCTCCCAAATTTCCAAACGACTCTTCGCGACCACCCACACCCAGCTTCCCGCCCTATGACGTTCGGACACTTCACTTCGTGGCATGCGGACGACCTTGGCTACTACACTGGCGCATGGGTACAGTGACTTGTTGTGGTAACATTTTCTGGACGCTAGCTTAGTATACGACTTTTCCCATTTTTCAAACACTCGACACCTGTACTGGTTTTTGGTGGTAACATGTTTCTGACGCTAGAATAGGAAATCACGGTATACCAGTACGACGCCGGTACTGTCTGAATTCAGCATGCGCACGGGGGCAGATTTTCGGAATTTTTGGATGAGAAAGTGGGGTGTTTTCATATGTTTTCTTGACATCGCATCTTGAAATTGTTGAAATCACAGTGTGTTTGGAAGGATTTCGACATGCGCGCGCGGCGGCCGCGCGCATGTGCCCCGCGTGTCATTTTTTGCAAGGGATGGTGGCCCTCGCAGGCGCGCAGACGTTGTTGAAGCAGTTCGAGGAGAGCGCAATAGTTGCCCTCGAAGCCCCGTTTGATAGGAATGTTGAAAAACCATTGGTTTTGGAAGGATTCAGCATGCGCGCGGGGGCAGATTTTCAGAATTGTTTGATGAGAAAGTGGTGTGTTTTCATATGTTTCCTTGACATCGCATCTTGAAATTGTTGAAATCACAGTGTGTTTGGAAGGATTTCGACATGCGCGCGCGGCGGCCGCGGCGATGTGCACTTCGTGTCATTTTTTGCAATGGATTCTTGAAATGTGGTTATGTTAGAACAAGAAATGTCATTTTATATTGTTTTTTGCAAGGGAAAGCGGGGGGGAACAAAACAACCGGATCTGGATCACATCGTTTTGTCAAGGGTTTTCGCTCGAAAATGATGAAAACAAGGCTGCGGCCTAGATAAAACGGGGGGGTCGCGCACCAGGGGTCCCAACAATAATATTTCTTTAGAAGCAATAGCATTCAACAACAACAACAACGACAACTACAACAACAACGACGACGATGACGACGACGACGACGACGACGACGACGACGACGACGACGACAACGACAACAACGACAACGGCAATAAACATATTCAAGCATGATAAAAAATCGTCCCCGTGTTTTTAAAACTATGTTTGAGCATTCTCTCTGTAGAAAGACAGGCCCGACTTAATCCCAGAGGTCGGAGGCCCGATTATCGCCTCCAGAACTATCCCAAAGTGTTTCCAGACAGGCCAAGAGAGCCCCAGGTCGGCACAGCAGGGTTCCAGGATGGCCCGGAGCGAGCCCCATGACGGCCCTCAGACGCCTCCCGGAGCATTCCAACTCGTGACCCGGTCGTCAGGGGAGACCGCGGGGAGCGCGCGACCTGGGGGATGGGGCCCGGGTCGCGTGGCCCGGGGGAGAAAATAAGAAACATAGGGGCAGCATCGACGTCGGCGGAGGCAAAGTCCATACGGAGTAAGTCCATACGGAGCGCTCGTTCTCCATATGGACTTACTCCGTCTGGATTTAGCCTCTCCTGGTAGGAGGCTTAGTACAGACGGGGTAAGTCCACACGGAACGCTCGGTCTCCGCATGGACTTACTCCGTCTGGTCTTAGCCTCTCCTCGCAAGGGAAGAAGCGCGCGCGGCAGATACAGACCCCGCAGGGCTGCAGACGGGCCTCGGCGAGCCTTCTGGGCAGTTTTGCGGGGGGGAGGGGAGTTCGGAGCGCGGGCCATGCCCGCCGTCGAGCAGCGAACGTCACGCAGACCCTTTTGCCCCACGTTGGTATCTGAGTTGGGGATCGAGCGGGCTATCGCGGAGTTGCCATCTCTTCCTCGGCGCAAGGCGGTGGCATGTGGCAGAAGTCCGCGGAAGTAAAAAGAGGCCGCCTCCACCGGCGGAAGTAAAAAGTTACCCTCCAAGAGTTGACAACACTTTTGGGTGCAGGGTTTCAGGAATCCGCCATATGTTGTATTGTTCCCGCTGCTTGTGTTCAAGTCGCGATCCCCTTTTTAGCTTGAACGCAGAGAGCATCGCGAAACATCACAACAATATCCCTAGACCTCATCTTTCGGCGTCATTGATCGCGCCAGATCGATCCGCGAGGGTCCCTGGGCCCGAAACAAGGCAAGCTCCGCTGTGTAACTATGCGAAGCATGTTCCTCTTTGTTCCTCCTCTCTTCCTCCTTCTCCTCCTGCTCCTCCTCCTCCTCCTCGTCCTCCTCCTCCTCCTCCTCTTCCTCCTCTCCCTCCTCCTCCTCCTCCTTCTCTTCGTCCTCCTCGTCCTCCTCGTCCTCCTCCTTCCTCCTCACCGCTCCCCCTCGTTCCCCCTCGTTCGTTCTCGATCCTCCTCGCTCCGCCTCGCTCCTTCTCCCAGGCGCTAGGGCTCGCCGATGGCGACACGGCCGTGGCCGACGCGCTGCTTGCCCAGTGGCAGCGGGTGCCCCCCCCCTCGGCGTCGCCGCAGAAGCAGCAGCAGGGCGAACGGTCCCTGCGCCCGCGCGGGCACGACGGCGACGACGACGGCGGCGACGAGGATGGCGACGGCGGCGGCGGCGACGCGGCGACGGCGACGGCGGCGACTGCGGCAACGGCGACGACGGCGGCGGCGACGGCGACGGCGACGACGACGACGACGACGACGACGGCTATGACGCCACGACGACGACGTCGGAGGCGGGGGTGATAGAGGTAGAGAGACAGATAGAGAGCGAGAGAAAGAAAGACAGAAAGAGATAGAGAGAGAGAGAGAGAGAAAACATACGAAAAATAAAATCCGAGGATAAGGAGGCGGAGAGTGAAGAGGGGGACGATGAGGAGGAGAGTGGAAGAGAGGGGCAAGGGCTAGCTAGGCGCCCGTGCGCCACGTATCAATCCTAACCCATCCCACCCAGCCCTTCTCATTGCTTTGAATCCTTTTCCAGTGTACGCCGAATGGGGTATCCTAGAAAGTATCGATCCCGAATGGCAGCCGCATGACTTGACCCATCTGTGGCTGCGCAGTCAGCGACGGAATCTTTCGTACCTGGTGATAGAGCAGGAGGAGCAGCATCAGCAGCATCTGGCGCAGGCACATGAGGGGAAAGGAGGGGGATTTCAACGACAACGATGGATCGGATCCAGGAGTGCGGCGGGCGCTGGGGAGAGACCGCGATCCCGCACGAGGCGCCGCACGTAGGACGCAACGCAAGGGTGCAGCGGGAGCGCCGTCCTGTGAAGGACGGAAGGCGTTCCGATTCGAAAGAGGGCGGGGGAGAAAGCAGCGTTTGATCTCCCGCGTGTGGGAAACTTGCGCGCGGGAGGGGCCGGAGTCCCGCGACACGCGCTGCCAGCGGGAGAGACGACGTTCGTCGTTCGTCGTTCGTCTCCGCCGCGGGCGAGCGCCGTCGATGGGGACGACGCACGACGAGCGACGAACGTCGGCACCCGCACCGTGCAGCCGTGGAGGGGAGGGGGGGGGGGCAGAGATGGGAGGAGGGGCGGCCTTGCCCCGCGACCTCTCCCTCTGCCCTTGGAGGTGGCAGAGGGGGAGGCCGCGGGGGGCAGGAGATGGGAGGAGGGCGCTGATTGCGGGAGGGGGAGGGAGGGCGCGGAAGCGAGGGGGGGCCGTTTGGAGGGGGGATGGATAATGGCGCGAGGAGGAGGAGGAGGAGGAGGAGGAGGAGGAGGAGGAGGAACTAGGAAACCGTGCTAAGCACAGACTTGCCCCCAGCGCTCAGGAGGATGAGGAGGATGAGAGAAGGAGGAGTGGGAGGTTCTGAAGAACTAGCGACGCGGCACAGATGCGCGCCGTGTGCCAAGGTCGTCTGGAGATCAGGGACAGGCCCCAACAGACCCGTCTGCCGCCCCCCCCCCCCCAGCACAAGGCCTAGTTGCTCCTTCCCCCCCCTCATGCCAACTCATCCCTCCTCCTGCCACCTCCTCCCTCCCCTACTGCCCAATCCCCCCTTCTCGTCTTCCTTCTCCTCATCCTCCTCCCCCTCCCTCTTCCACCTCCTCATCCTTCGCTGGTGGCGTGGGGCCACATGTTGAACAGCGCCCTGCTTTCATCAGCGTAGCCGTGCAGTCCTGCCCTCGCACCGCGGGGTGTACGAGTAGCAAGCCAGCCAGTCAGTCAGTCAGTCAGTCAGCCAGTCAGCCAGTCAGTCAGTCAGTCAGTCAGTTAGTCAGTCAGTCAGTCATCTTCCTCCACCTTCTTCCTTCTCCTCCCTCTTTTTCCACCTCCCCTCGACCTCCTCCGCCTCCTCCGCCTCCTCCTCCTCCTCCTCCACCTGCGCTCCCACCCGAGGCGCAACCGAAGGTTACTTCGCCACCTCTCTGAAAGGGACCACGCAGGCGAGAGAAGTCTCCCCTGACCCCTGGGATCCCCCTTCCGCGGTACGAGACCGCGGGTACCAAAAAACAAACATGAAAGTTTGGACTTCCCAGCGGGCTCGGAGGGCCCGCAAGCCTCCCCGCGGCAGCCTGGTCCGACGAACCCAGCGGGCAGTCGTCGGCCAGGCTACCGCAGGACGGCTGCGGACCCTTCAAGCCCCTGGGGCGGAGTCTGGCCAATGCTTCAGACCTTTGGGCAGTCGCCCCTCGTCTATCCTCTTGAGTGTGATCTTGCTATCTTTGCTGAGGCTTGGCACACACGGGGACGGCAACTTAACGAAACGCGTTACTCCTTGGGCCGCACAGGCCCTGCAGAACCAAAATTCTCGCACTTGCGCCACTCGGTGCGCTGGGTGAATCTGGAAAGGGCGTCCTGGACAGGGATCTGCTCAAAACTGAATGGTGTCTGTCTTGCTCGAGCTGTGGAAGCATACTTTACATCTGAAACCTTTCTCGAAATGCTCTAGCCGATGGGTGGTATCGCTCATCGCCGCTGTTCTGACAGCGTTTGTTCTGGGACTTTTGCCTGGAACGGGCAGCTAAATCGCCTTTCAAAGTGGTCCCGTAGAGATCTTTCGCATCCTTGGCCACTTCTAGGCCTACGGACGCTAAATGTCTTCGGACCCGCCAGGCAAGTTTGTCAGCTTCTCTGGCTTTGAAAACTAACATGTACGGTGGTGCAGCCTCGGTGGCTGCTTGCTCTGTTAATTTGTCAGCGGCGTCATTCGCAGCCCAATGGTCTCCGCAGGATGGCTCTTGACTTTGGTATAGTTAAAAGCTCCCTGGTGGCTGTCCGTAGCCTCCCAGAATTCAGCCCAAAGCTCAGCATTCGAAGTGTACCTTTCCTGGCGGCCCTTTCGAATGCCCTTGATGACATAGTTGGCATATATTACTA